CTACATAGTGAGACCCTGTCTGAAATAAAAAAAAAAAAAAAAAAAAAAAAGACATAGCTAGCACACTATAAACAGGAGGATGACTTGCTAATGTTATGTGCAGGACCAGGGATTTAGCTCAGTGGTTCTGCTGCCTGCCTCACAAGCGCAAGGTCCAGAGTTCTATCTCTGGTACAAACAAACAAAAAAAAAGACAAAAGTTGTGTGCAATCTGTTGATGATATAAAAATACAAATTAAACCAAGTAATATTATCTTGTCAGGTATCTAAAAGGCTTTGGGGAATGGAACGCTCTCCTGTAACTGGCGGGAATGACGCTTGATAGCTTCATCAAAGAGCCACTTGCGGGGAGGGATTTAGCTCAGTGGTTCTGATGTCTGCCTCACAAGCGCAAGGACCCGAGTTCGATCCCCAGTATCCAAAAAAAAAAAAGAGCCACTGGGGGGCCAGGGGCATAATTCAGTGGTAACCTAGGTGTGGTGGTACACATCTGTTTTCCAGCACTCAGGAAGCTAAGGCAGGAGTATCACCTAAAAAATGGGCAGATGATGTAGCTAAATGCAAAGGCACCAGGTTCAATGCCTGGTAACGAAATAAAAATACTCAATTTCAAAGCATTTCAGATTAGGGACATTTGCTACTATGCCTGGCTACAAACTTTTTTTTAATAGTACTTGCTGGAGGTTGAACTCAGGGCCTTTTCACTAAGCTACATCCTCAGGCCTTTTTTTATATTTCAAAACAGAATCTTGCTAAGTCATTAAATGGCCCAAGTTGGGCTTGAATTTGAGAGCCTCCTGCCTCGGCCCCTGGAATAGCTGGGACTCTGGGTGCGCACTGACATACCCGGCCCACCATTTTATGAGTGCCTAACGTGTACAAAAGACTGTGATTAGCCAGCTACTCAGGGAGCTGAGGCAGATGACAAGCTCTGCCTCAGCATTTAAAAAGGGCTGGGGATGCAGCTCAGCGCTCCCTGGGTTTAACCAGTGCCATTAGACGGCCAAGTCAGAAACAAATGAAGTCAGAGAGACCCCCCCCAGAGGAAGTCAACCATGGGTGAAGGAAGACACATCAGGGTTAGGGCCAGGTTCCAGCTGGAGACCCCACAGCCATCCAGGAGCCGCAGGCCAGGTCCAGATGCAGGGTGAGGACCGCACCTGCCCTGCCTGAAGGCCTGTTCTTGCCACGCAGCCTGCCACGCAGCCAGTCTCCCATTTGGATCAGCATTAGCTCCGCAGCGTCTGTCCTTGTTATCCTGCGGGGTGGCTGCGCCCCTGCTGTGCAAATCCCAACAGTGGCCTCTGTGGCCGCCCACGCAGGCCCCACCCAGGAACCCAGGGTCTGCTCTGCTCCTCGTTGCCAATAAAATCACTTCTAACTTCTGCCTTTGATAGCAACTTCACTACTGGATGCTGGGAACGTGAACTTGGGATCTCTGACATCTGACAGGTGGGGAGTTATTTCCCCGTCACAGCCACAAAAAACCAAAAAACTGTATTTGAATGAAGCAGTTGTCCAGTGGAAGAGTGGGAGACAGACATACACTGAGAACGCTGTTTTGGAAGTGGAAACAGCTCCTGTCTGGAGCGGGCAGGAGGCTGGCTGCTGGCTCCAGGCAGCCTCCAGGAGGGCAGGGACCGAGAGGAGCCCTGCAGGGAGCTGCACGCAGGACACAGACAGAGGGCAGTTCTCACAGATTTACTGTCACCTGTGCTTTTTATTTGGCTTTGGTGCGCGCGCGTACACACACACACACACACTCACACACACACTCAAATAGCCAAGCAGCCCAGACACACAAACACACAAACACACACACACACACACACACACACACACACACAAAC